AGAATAAAATTGCACGTAGCCACTATTTCGACACATGTTATCTTTAGATGTTCAGACTACCTGGCGCCTCAAATAACCCAACATTAAAAGAAAGCATGCAGTGTCCACCTTACAACAGGTTCCATTGATTTACGATTTATTTTATAATTTATCACATAGTTTAGACCACAATGTGTTACCATTTGCATTTTAGTATTCTAAATTGATGCTTATTCGGAATTCTTATATTTGGAGTTGTTTAGTCGGGTAGACTAATCACCGGAATTCATTTACAAATACCGGAATTTATTTACAATCACCGGAATTCACTTTGAAAATCCCTGATTCCTCCCATAAAACTATTCAAATGTATAATACATTCTGGTGATTAGTCGGGCCCTTGTTTAGTTCCATTTCGTGTACTGAAATTAAATAAATGATCAGTTTTAAAATTAATTATGGTTTCGAAATAATATCAACCTAATCTGTCTTATTTAAAAGGGGCTCCTGCGCAATTTAGTTGATTATTGGGTAATATGTAGAGTCCATGATGTATTTTGGCGAGTGATTAAGCTGTCAATATGCAATTATAGAATACCTTTTTATAAAGAAGATAAATGATGTTAGACATCATAAACTAACAAACAATACGAATATACTTTTCCAGGCACAGATCCAGAGGGGGGGTCCAGACCCCTCTGCTCAGGCTTGAAAATTTGAAGGGTCCGAGAAACTTAAATCTTAAAGCCTGAATCTGACCCAAAAATTGCGAGTTTGTTTACATTGAGTTGAGCCATGACTTTCATTCCATTGTGGGCAAGGAGTTGGAAATCTGGCGCTCCTGGTGGCATAATGGTGACGACCCTTCCGACACCTTGATCACTGCCCTTAAAGCCTGTTCTAAGGATTTATTTCCTAACCTTCATCTTCTTCTACAAATAGGATGTATTATACCAGTGACCAGCTGCGAACCGGAGCTGTCATTTTCGGCTGTTCGGCGTATAAAAACCCGGTTAAGATCAACATTAAGAGAGGAACGCCTGAGTGCCCTGGTGCTCACCAACGTTAACAGAAAGCTCCAGCTAAATGTCCAGAATATCGTTGGGCAGTTCATCAGAAAAAAGCCACGTCGACTTTTCTCTGCATTGCACAGTTAAAGTGAAGGTCCCACATAATTTTTGGAAGATAAATCTGTTTAATTTCGTGTGAAAATTCCCTGTAAACCTCTACATTTATGATTAAGCCTGTGCAACTATTGCAAGCTATATTATTTATTTTTATGCGCTAAAAGTAAAAACAGTAAACCAAGTCTATAGACTTTTCGTCTGTGAAAGTTTGTGCTCTGGAAAACCCTGACCAACTTTCCTATACTTAAATGGACTGGTTACTCTCTAATAGTAAATTGATACTGCTAATAAAGCTTGTTAAGAACAACCATAATATGGTATCTGAAGATATTTTATTCCTTACCTGTGAAGGGAGCATTCCCATCAACATTTTAAGAACATTTTATGCGATTTTATTGGCGATTTTTAGACCTGTAATTTAGAATTTACCTTCCGGAAATATACGTCAGAATGCACCAAATTAAATCTAATTTACCAAATTTTTCTGGGGGAGGGCACCCAGACCCCCCGTTACAACGTTTAGCGCCTTTGGCGCTCGTGGTGGTGGGCATAGCCCACCGCAATTAGTTAAGCAATTATCCAACCTAGACCCCCCCCCCCCCTGCAAAAAATCCTGGATCCGCGCCTGTTTACTACAAAAACATCGGTGAACTGACCTAAAATCTAAAATCATAACGCCAATTAACAAACAATACGAATATACAGCAGTGAACTAATCTCGGTCGTGATGGGTAATCAACAAAAATCGACGAATAAAACAATAAGTAAGTGTTTAACAGTTTATTTAACAATAAGTACAACTCACGTAATTAACTGCTATTCTAATAACAAGGGGGATGAAACAGCCCGATAAAAAAATAGGTTGGGATGAAACAGCCCGGGGTGAAACGGTTGTGGGATGAACTGACCCGCATCCTTTTCAACTACGTGTGAAGAGCGACCTAATTATTCTTCAACAAACATCGTCTTCTATCCCGATATAAAACCTCTACAAAAACAGTACATTATACGCAATCCATAAAAATATTGTACAAACATGCATTTCGTTTCGCGTAAAACTGGGATCCTCAAATTTTAATGCAGAGGATATGACGTCAAAAAAAGGTCAAACTTTCCCAACATTGCGACTGAAAGAAATGTTGGTGTATGTGTATTGGATAAACCTGTTTCACTGAACAACGTTTGTTTGTCAGTAAGTGTCATTGTTGTTCAGAGATTTATCACACATAAGTAGGGGTTTCAGGTCACGTGACTTTAGGCCGTGTTGAATTGATTCCTTGTTTCTCCTCGCCCGCGCGCTTAGGTCGAGGACCCCGAAAATCGTGCGCTTACGTTTTTAACACAAAAAAAAAATATTCAAATAATTACGTTAAAGGAGCTAAATCGCTAACATTTGGGACCTAGAATTGACAAAAGTAGGTCGCAACGCATATAATACTGTAATATGAAAGTATATAAACTGATTTACATTCAATGGTTTCTGTTTTTACTCCAATTTCAAATCAGTTATGTTCGGCGAAATAAGCCAGCAGTCTCAAGCGAGTGCAAATTTCTAGCGTCTGGTTATTCCAGTCTACATACGCCGTTTGATTTGGTGCAATGTGTCTAGTCTCGTCCCTCGAGTCTCTTGATACAACTGGGGCTGAAGCGCATTATGGTACACGATTCGTGTACCAATGGTAAAATGTTTATTTTGTCTTAAATATTGGATATCAAAAGCCCATCTTTTTCCGGTAAGATCACAACATGAATGTTGAATTAATTTGACAAATAAATCGTGTTTTCAATGTTGAAGATTTTGGATGATATTGAGTTAGAGACTTAGCTACTTTAATAACATCTAAAAAAAATTCTACCAAACATCAGAAGTCAATTCTAGTTGTTTAATCCTCGTTACGAACTAAATAATTAAGTGCAGGGGGGGGGGGGGCGCACTACACGCAAAACAAAAATCTACAAGATAAACCTGCGGACAAGACAGAAAATAGGCATTGCACTGAATAAACAAATATCAAATCAAGTGAATGGATCCGGTTGATAATACACATGTAGGGGCCCGCATACTATGGAATAAGTTACACTGTATATGATTGGATGAATTCCGCAAAATGGCGCGTGTAGCAGTCATTTCAGCTAATGAGAAAGCCTATTATAATCTGTAAGACAGTCGCTAATATTACACAATCATATCTTGTGTAATAAATAACGCACGCCTTACAAAATGGTGAGCAATGCCGGGACATAGGTAAATTCGCGTACCGGTCGGCCTAATTTATTGATGTTCAAGGAAATAATAGTGGTCCCGTTCGTTCGTTTCTGGAGTTTAACGAACGAACAGGACCACTATTATTTCCTTGAACATCAATAAATTAGGCCGACTGGTACGCGAATTTACTTATCTCGACTCGACTTTGGTGTGTATTCCCAGCACTTTCACGTTCGATGATATTGTCGAAACCATCTATAACTCAACAAGCGAATCAAATTTCGTCTAACTGGAATGTTTCCATTGTATTGTAACACAAGAATACGGAAAATTTATATAAAAATATGGTTATTTCATTTTTTAAAAAGTTAAACAAAGAAGCCACTTGTTACCAAATTCTAGTTTGTTATTAAATTTAGATAATATTTATTTAATCAAATGTGTTTTTATTCTAACCAATAATATAACTAGATTATTTATAATATTATTAAAAATGGTACACAACCCTCAGACTATATAGGTATTATGCCAGACCACTTTGTGTTTTGAAACCCACTTTGTGTTGTGTTTACCGCACTACCGCACATGATTGCCAGAGTGGTGGCAGGAGAAACAAGGAATCAATTCAACACGGCCTTAGCGTGAAATCGGACAGCCAGAGGCTGAAATATACCCCACTTCAATCTAAGATTCTGAATTACTATATCATGTAAATGCATTACTAGCAATTGTATTGCAATAGTTTAATATCAATCTCAATATCTGCTAAAATTATCAAAATGTAAGCAAAATTACTGTTTGTTTACATGAGACGCTCGGGGGAAAATACCGCTCTGACGTCACGCGGCCTGAGATTTTCCATTGCTACGACTCACTTCATTGGTGAATCCGCACCTTAGTTACCGGGGGATTTTGATATAGAACCAATCAAACGATAGATAACATTTTTGTGATTATTATGTTTGTTGATACCACGTGGTCGGACAATTAAACCTGGAGAAAATGGGATTTATCTGTTTTGATGACTGAAAATTGCTAAATTTCGACTAAATATAAAAAAACTTTCTTGAGGTATCATCCAGATTATAAATATTTGACATATTATCATTCAAATTATTACGATTTTAATAAATTTTAGCTGACAATAACGTGCGGATTTCAGTTTTAAAATTGGTACTAGCGATTCTGAAGGGAAAATACCGCTTATGACGTCACTCAAATATGACTGAAAAGCACTCACTTTGGTGCCATGCCACGCATTGACTGGTATAGAGCATTTTGATTATACATTATTGACGTCGATCTCGGACTTTAAAATTTCATAACTTTGGATCTAATTAGAATATTTTGATGAAATATACAAATTTGGGTAGCATTTTATGTATATTTTCACAAAATATTTTTTAATTTTTTTTTTCTGTCATTTGAAACTTTGACCTGAAACCCCTAACATAAGGTAAGACATGCATTTAGAATTTATCGACTGACGCCTTTCAGCTCGTGGCTATTTGATGCGCCAACAATTCAGTCGCAGTTCGCTTTAAATAAGTACAGCTTCAGGAACCTTGTGGTTACGTGTGAACGAAACCTCAACTTGGCTCAACAAGTAACAGCAAGGCACTCTGTCTGGAGCATCTGAGACAGAGCCTCCACTCCTCCAGGCAACAATATTATTCGATAAGATTTACCTTGTTTCATGGAAACTATACTTCTGGCTGAAATATTATCAGATGCCACGAGAACAAAATCTTTTCCTTGCAGGCCAATTAGACACTCCATCTTTAAAGATATAGCGTTAAGTTAAGGAAATTAATAAGACAGCGTGATCGTAAACAGATCAAAAATGAGTGTGCATTTATCAACTTCCGGTTTCAGATGCGCAGAAAATTATCAATTAAAATAATAATTAGCAATAAAATTAATTTGTGTGTATCACACTGTCCGGCATTAGGTACATCATTTACATCCAGACAAGTATATTAAATAAGGAAAAATAATAATTTACATATTTTAGCAAATATATTTCAGCACCTAACTCATGAAGCAAATTTCTGGTCTACATAAATTACGGAACGAAATTTTCAACGATATAAAATACCTTGAAATTTCTTTCATTTAAAAACAAATCGCCACAACAAAATGAATATATTGTATGTTGTCTTGAAGGCACGCGCTGGGAATAGGAACCCCCCGAGTCTGGCCTGGTGCAGGCCCGTAGTCAGGTAGTGAAGTTTTTAGGGAGATATCGGTGTGGTTTAATTAATTAGCTCTCATTATTATCTTTTTGCTTCTGAAAATTAAATTCGTGAACATTTTTTTTTAAGTATTAGAAATATAGGTATATTTGAAGTATATTTAGATAAAAAAAAAATCTATTTAGTGTAAATGGGTATATAAAATGAGTAAAAGGCACCATTCTGCCCATCCTGCACACAGAGATCCATCTACCCCGGCCATTTCATTTCAGTTACTTCATACTTCGAGAATAAATCTCTGTCCCGAATGGCCGCCATATCCAAAAGTTAGTATACTGCTGTGTAATGCGTTTCTACCCCGTTTCACACCTGACATACACACAAAGACTAAATAAACCTATTCAATTCCATTAAATGGAAGCAGAATAAATACTTCTCAAAATTCTCGAAGTATACTTAGTGCATTTTCGACTAAAATCGTCGATTTAGGACTTAAAAATTCGGTTAACTAGCTTAGTGTCCGTTTTCAAGCGGAGCTAATTGTAGACAGACAGCCTAAGTTTAGTTATGCATTAATTTCTGCCCCGACTAGTTTACACTTCGACGTCTCACGTAAACAATGCACGCGCCATCGACGCTATCAGTGATGTTGCGTCATACGTAGAAGTCATCCCTGAACTGTAGTCAAGAACAAAATCAAACTCAAACTGATGCAGCCGAGCGAAAATTCTGTACGGATTTGGAACATAGTGTCAACCGTAGGTACCTGAGATTGCCGAGATCTACCGATCGACCACGCTTTCGGCTTTCAGATAGATAGATAGAGATAGATAGATATATTTTATTACATAAAACACCCTTTTTGGACAGCATAAAAAAAAATGGATGAAAAATATATAAAAAGTAGATGAAAGATACATAAAAGTGAATCAAATGTACATTTATATACATTGAGGGAGTATGTGCAAAATATAAACCAAAGTTTTGAATATATGTCATAGTCGCTTAAACTAAACGTGAAGAGGTCTTTGAATTGTTGGTTATTTATTTATTTATTTATTTTTTTTTTTGTTTATATAGAAGTGGGTGCCACATCCCTTATTTTGAAAGCCTGATGCACAAAGTTGCACACTGCTTTTGCCAGAGCAAACGGCGGGTTAAACATGTTTTCGAAAGAAAATGAATAGATTTGGGTCTCAAATGCCCCATAAACAAATGTCTTGCGGAGTTCCTCATAGCGGTTGCATTCAATGAAAAAATGATACTCATTTTCAACTTTCTGTTGAGGGTAGTTTGTGCAAAACCGCAGATGTGCAGGTATATTCTTGTATAGCCCTCTCTCTATTTCAAGGGAACGTGTGCTTAGTCTAAGGCGGGACATAGAGGTTTTAGTTTTAAGATTTTTAACAGCTTGCAGGTAGGGCACCGTAGCATTGATATATTCTTTGTAAACCTATAAAATGTTCTTAGTTTCTGGGTATCTGAAGAGCATCGATTGGCATAAACTTCATTGAATTTGTCTTCAAGGCATTTAGTAATTTCATTCGTTAATGGATTGAAAGATGATATATTAAAAATATAATATTTAACAATTCAGCAATGTCTGCTGCCAAGAGAGTTTAGGGTTAAAGGAGCAAAATCGCTAACATGTGGGACCTAGAAATTGACAAAAGTGGGTCGCAACGCATATAATACTGTAATATGAATGTATATAAAATGTTATACATTCAATGGTTTCCGTTTTTACTCCAATTTCAAATCAGTTATGTTCGGCGAAATAAGCCAGCAGTCTCAAGCGAGTGCAAATTTCTAGCGTCTGGTTATTCCAGTCTACATACGCTGTTTGATTTGGTGCACCGTGTCTAGCCTCGTCCCTCGAGTCTCTTGATACAACAGGGGCTGAAGCGCATTATGGTACACGATTCGTGTACCAATGGTAAAATGTTTTTTTTGTCTTAAATATTGGATACCAAAAGCCCATCTTTTCCCGGTAAGATCACAACATGAATGTTGATTTAATTTGACAAATAAATCGTGTTTTCAATGTTGAAGATTTTGGATGATATTGAGTTAGAGACTTAGCTACTTTAATGCACGCTAAAGTACTATCCTCTTTAAAGGAAGAAAAAAGAATTGGGTTATTTATAACATTGCAGTGGCCTATTAAGGGGGAGGCCCATAATCCATTGGGTCGCCATGTTCTTTTTACCTGACACGAAAATATCCCGTTTAGAAAGGATGCAGAACGTTGACAAATATTCTATCCAGAATATATTTGTAAACACTGAACGGAAATATACACCATTTTTAGACAGATATTCAAATTTGCACAGTAGTTTTGTAGTTAACAAGGGATCTCACAATCCATCAAATAGCGTTCGGAGTTTAAAGATACATTATGGGAGATTAGATAAAGAGCTGGAAGTTTTCACTTTAATAGTTGAAAACTATATGATTTAAAGGGAATTTGCTGAAAATTTCAGTCAAATTGATCCACCCTGAACTGATTATTTAGTGATTAATTTTGGACCTAGCCTCGATCATCATTACTAAAGTCGGTACGATAAAGACATAGCTTCGATTATCCATTTTTTTTTTATTTAATCAGAAGCAGCAGACCGGGTTCTAATCCAGTAAATATCGCAGGCTAGCGATGCCATCGAGAGTTGATTATGGTCTGGATAAGTTAAAGGAGCTAAATCGCTAACATTTGGGACCTAGAAATTGACACAAGTGGGTCGCAACTCATATAATACTGTAATATGAATGTATACAAACTGATTTACATTCAATGGTTTCCGTTTTTACTCTAATTTCAAATCAGTTATGTTCCGCGAAATAAGCCCGCAGTCTCAATCGAATGCAAATTTTTAGCGCCTGGTTATTCCAGTCTACACACACCGTTTGGTTTGGTGCAATATGTCTAGCCTCGTTCCTCGAGTCTCTTGCTAGAACTGGGACTGAAACGCATTATGGTACACGATTCGTGTACCAATGGCAAAATGTTTATTTTGTCTTAAATATTGGATATCAGAAGCCCATCTTTTTCCGGTAAGATCACAGCATCAATGTTGATTTAAATTGACAAATAATTTGTGTTTTCAATGTTGAAGATTTTTGATGATATTGAGTTAGAGACTATGTCTAATTAATAATTTAGATAACATTTTAGGCCTAAAGAAAGACCTGCAATTGGCAGATTTAGCTCTTGCATACTGTATGTTTAAAGATGCCTTCAATTACAAGCTGTGTGATTTTATGATATATTTGGACAAAAAACTTTCAAACTAATTTATCCATCAAAAGCTGGCTTCAAATCCCTCTAAAAACATTTTAATAGCTAGGAAATACGCCAATTTATTTTAAACATTCTTATTTGTCACGTGCCGTTACTATCTAGGCAACCATTTTCGGTTTGTAGTTGTCTTTAATCGTTGTCCATTTACCCCACTCGAAGCCTATAGAAGCAAATTCTGGGATTATTCTCTGTACACTTCTTTTTTGCAGTTTAATCGCAGAGTCGGCTGTACGTCTAGAGGCACGTCTTCAACTCAGTATCATCCACAGTCTTCGACATTGCACGTCATTGCAAACAAGACTTATTGGTCAATTTAAATCAACATTGATGTTGTTATCTTACTGGGAAATGAAAATTTTAAAATTTGCACACGAATCGCGTGTCAGAATGCTTTTGAATGCCATTTGTAATAAGGCTAAACATATCCTACAGGAGAATACTACCGGTATAGACTGGAATAACCAGACGCCAAAGACTGCCATTCAATTTGGACTCTTCGCGTATTTCGCCGAACATAACTGATTAGAAATTACAGTAAAAGCAGAAACGATTGATTGTAAGTCAGTTTATATACATTCATATTATATTACTAAAGTGTTGCGACCCATTTGTGTCCATTTCTAAATGCCAAAGAATAGAGAATTCGTTTACCAATGTTAAAATATTTATTTTGTCTTAAATATTGGATATCAGAAGCCCATTTTTTTTCCGGTAAGATCATAGCATCAATGTTGTTTTAAATTGACAAATAATTCGTGTTTTCAATGTTGAAGATTTTGGATGATATTGACTTAGAGACTTAGCTACTTTAAGACTCTGATTGCTCTCACAACCGCTAGCATTCGATCAGCACACGCAAAGCGGTCCCGACACTCGTTACGTCTCACGAGATGACACAAGCGGCCACAGCCTGCCAATTTACGACACCCTTAAATTGTTGTCCTGTGGAGGCCTTATGGACGAATGCCATACTTTTATTGGAAATAACTACCTTATGGGAATTCATAACAACGATTCCCACTTCCCTCTTGTAAAAGTAGCTGGTCAACCAGGATTTCAAACGCAATCCACTCTTTCCGAAAAAAGTCATGCTTTGGAAATGTATGAAACGAAAGCGCATTTCTTCTACAACTCCCAATCACACACTTATAAACACGTACTGTGCCATTTTGTTCGTTCGTTCGTTCGTTGGGGCATAACGCCCGATTCACGCAGAGTGATATCGCTGACAAGTTTCCATTGGGCTGGCGAATATCTTAGAACAAACCACCGAAGTAAACACCCAATCTCAATCCCAGAGATAACTTTACCCCTTGTTTGTCCCTGGTAAAACTCGCCGGCCATTAATCAGCGTTAATTCGGTTGTTTAGCTCCGCCCCCCCCCCCCCCCGTCGCTACTGATTGGCAGGGTTTGTTAGAATGAAATGCTGCCGATGTCTCGACAATTATTAGGCATCGGTTCGTTGCATGAGTTACATATTAATGATCCTCGGAACATCGAAAACTATTTTTAGCGCACAATGTGAGTGATTCGGCTAATACGTGAAATTTCTATAAATAAAAACGCGAGTTTGAGCTGCCATCTTAGATCTTTGTGAAGCAACCCGCGAAAGAATACATCACGTGACATTCAAAATGGCCGGCGAGTTTAACCAGAAATAAACGAAGGGTAAACTTATCTCTGGTATTGAGATTGTTAAACGCCTGATATTCTCGGATATTCACCATATTCATCGTCCGTGTGGCAATTAATAACCATGCCGCTTTCTTCGAAACGAAAGACAGAAAATCTGAGATAGAAATTGAGTTAATTTGAGATAGAAATTGAGTTAATTTTGAGTTAATAATTTTCAGGCATTTAAGAAAATTAATGGGCTATTGTTACTTATTGACCATCAAGTCGAGGAACGTATTATTATTTTTAATAAAATAGTTTTCCATTATTTTTCTTTTTGTTATGTCACCGACTTTCATTTTATAAAACGGGTAAATTTGGAATTTTAGTTGAAGGTGTTGTGCCAGGAGCGGATCCAGGAACTTTTGCAGGAGGGGATGTGCCAGGTTCCTGGGACAATGTATCAAGGGGGGGGGGGCTGTCTCTTCCCCCCACCCCGACCTTGAATTGTTTTTAGTAATCCATAGAATATGTGTCTATTTATTTAAATAAGGGCCCATTTTTAATGTTACAATACAATCCCGTCGATGATTGCGCACTCTTTTTACAAGTCATTATATATAACTTACCTATACGCGTGCTAAAGAAATGGAGGGCACCCATGCCGGGGCGAATGTTTGTTACAACGACAGAGACACCTAAGTCGTCCAACGCAGCTCCACCAGAGACAACTGGCAAGCGGCCGTGAATAGGGCGCAAAATAATGGATATAAAAGACAGAATGTGCGGAACGTCCAAGATAGGAGAAACGTGAACAATGTGTCTAGCATCAACCTATATTTAATACGAAATGAAATTTAAAATTGGCACACGAAAAACGTGCCCGAATGCTTCGCGTATTTCGCCTCATAACTGATTAGAAATTACAGTAAAAACGGAAACGATTGAATGTAGGCCTAAATCAGTTAATATAGGCCTACATTCATTTGTGTCCATTTCTAGTTGCCAAAAAATAGAGATTAAGCTCAATGGCCTCAGATGCAAGGATGACTTCAGACTTTCAAAATTTTGTGGAGATTCCGCTGTCAGTCACGCCGAAACAGCCCCACCCACCCCCACCCCGCAATCGTGGAACTGGAAGTTGTGCGCTATAAAAATGCAGGCCTACCTACAATAATGATAATTATTATAGTGTAAAAATTGAATCATAATTATTATTATTATAATGAATATAACAGTAAATATACGTAGCCCATTGTTACACTAATTTATCCATTTGGGGTTTGAGTAGTATTCCCCCAAATACACATTTATATAAAGCGGCCGTGCGTTGTGGACTCCGGAAATTATCGAACCTCCCCAACCGGCCTACAAAATTAGCGTCTCCCGTACTGTTTCGTTTCGTCTAATTTCCGTAACTACATTTTTCATACCGGATATTTGGACGATACTGCGGAACAGACGGACGATAACTTTAGCGGGGTTGCCGAAAAAGGGTGCGTAGAATTCTCAAGTTCTAGAATAAATTGTCAGTTTTGTCATTCCGTTAGGCTAGTAAAAGTGTATATTTTTCATTGAGATAGCAAAATATCTAGCTTGTTAAGAAGTACAGTGCTGACAGTAGGTGAGAAAATATTATTAAACATGAAACAGAGATTTGAAGGGAACCAACGGTATGACTGACTGACCGTCCAATGCCATGTCTACCGTAGCGTTGGCATGTAAATAATACATTACTAATAGTAATACTAGGCTACGGACCGGAGTGCACTTTTTAAACGTAGTAATGTTGTTATGGTAAATGTATTCCATTTATGTGTGATGAAGATATTGTCATTGATTAAGTTTATATAATTGATTGACTCAACACTGTCATTATTCATTTAATCTTGCAAGTGGAGGCAAAGCCGCGTTTACTGACTGTCATTATTCATTTAACCTTAAAGGAGCGAAGTCTCTAACTCAATATCATCCAAAATCTTCAACATTGAAAACACGATTTATTTGTCAAATTAAATCAACATTCATGTTGTGATCTTACCGGGAAAAGATGGGCTTTTGATATCCAATATTTAAGACAAAATAAACATTTTACCATTCCATAATGCGCTTCAGCCCCAGTTGTATCAAGAGACTCCAGGGACGAGGCTAGACACATTGCACCAAATCAAACGGCGTATGTAGATTGGAATAACCAGACGCTAGAAATTTTCACTCGCTTGAGACTGCTGGCTTATTTCGCCGAACATAACTGATTTGAAATTGGAGTAAAAACAGAAATCGTTGAATGTAAATCAGTTTATATACATTCATATTACTGTATTATATGCGTTGCGACCCACTTTTGTCAATTTCTAGGTCCCAAATGTTAGCGATTTAGCTCCTTTAAAAGTCAAGAAGAGTACATGTAAGTACTAAGTTATTTAGGCCTAATAGTAATATATTAGTATTACCAAACCATAGATAAGAATGTCTCAAGATAAGAGATCAGAATTTACAAAGCTAAACTGTATTGTTACATTCCTTATACCCAACTACAATTAAGCATATAATCCTACCTGACACGATTACATTTCATTTGGGACTCGCGTCATTTGGGACTAAAAAAAATATGACCGCGACATTTGGGACTCGGGTATACGACGTTTGGGACTTTGGTATACGTCATTTGGGACTCGGGTATACGACGTTTGGGACTCAGGTATACGGTGTTTGAGACTCGAGAAAAAATGGTGGACACACAATGCCAATTGAATTATAAATATATTTTATTATAATAAATAAAAGACAACTAATAATGTTTTCATTTCTTTATTATTATTCATAATCTGTCTTCGGCCATCATCTAAAATGAAAAAAGATAAGTTATTACTATTTCTACATAATAATGTTTTAATTTCTTATAAATAAAAGACAACTAATACTGTTTTCATTTCTTTATTATTATTATTAAAAGACAACTAATAATGTTTTTATTTCTTTATCATTATTACTATTTCTACATAATAATGTTTTAATTTCTTTATTATTATTCATAATCTGTCTTCGACCATCATCTAAAACAAAAAAAGATAAATTCTTAAGAGTCCCAAATGTCGTTTATATTGAGTCCCAAATGTCGTTTATATTGAGTCCCAAATGTCGTTTGTGTTGAGTCCCAAATGACGCCAATCAAGTCCCAAACGTCGTCAACTGAGTCCCAAACGTCGTCAACTGAGTCCTAAATGTCGTTTATGTTGAGTCCCAAATGACGTGAGTCCCAAATGACGTGAGTCCCAAATGACATGATACCATCCGTACATACATTTCATTTCTTTTAAATCAAAGTGTTGAGAGCTTTTGCTATGCCAAGCATTTTAAAACTGGAGAGGTCTGATGTCCAGGGGTCTCGATAACTTTCCGAAAGTACTGCTAATCAAGGTAGATAAATTCAGGCAAAATTCAGTCCTGTTTTGATTAGCAGTGTATGAATATCCATAACAGATTAATTTTTCGGGAAAGTGTGAATGAAGTAAAGTCTACCTGTTAAATTTTACAATATGCAAAGCTTTATTTCCGTCACACTATTTGAAAATTACACTATTTAAAAATTGTTGTTATTATATTTCAAGGTCTGCTCACTGCTATGTTACAATTACTCTATCTTCAAAGCAGTGCAGAGACACCGGTAAGAAACGTATGCCTGTCGGAATAATTTCAGGGTTGATAGGCTATGTATTTTGAACATTCAGTATTCACAACCATGTCATTTGTTAATGTAACAGCCATTCACTTGTTAGTGCTGATATCAATCAAGTAATGTTTTACGCATCAATGCATCAGGAGAAAATATCAATTCTTGCAATGCATTGATGATGCATCGGTAAATTTGACAACACAATGAAAATCGCTATTCCCGATTGAAAATTCATTGACTCAAATCTCTGTTATAAATTGGGATGGGTGGGTGGATGGCCGAATGGTTAGCATGTACAGATTATTGAGTCAGCTGGCGGGGTTTCGATTCCCAGGTTGTAAGTGACCAGGAGTAGGGTCGCCTGTCCAACCTCGTAGGTACTCCGGGTCCTCTGGTTTCCTTCCACTGCTAAAGACAGACGTTAAACCCCATTTCTCTCCCCATTATAAATTCTGTAAATGCGTCATTTAGAACCCACATTAATAACTAGTGCCTACCTTTGTTATATATTTGATAATATCTATCGCATTTTGTCAAAAGACTCCATGAAGTATTTTTATTTTATCAAAAAACTGCCTGTCAGTGTCATAAAACTCAGGGGATGTAACTCTGCATAATATAGGCAGTCTTTGTTTGTATTTTAGAGCAGAGCTGAAAAAAGCTCCCCTTAATGAACAAATTGAAAAAAATTGCTCCCCTAAAAAAACTCTCCCAGTTTCGATAAGAAGAGTGATTTAGAAATTAAGGAGACTGATGTGATATTAAGGAAAGTAATTAGTTGTATGTATGGGAAATGGTGCTGAAGATCAATAACTGTGTGTAAGGGGCCATTCCTGGTTACATAAATGATAATAATCATAGTCTGTTAAATAATAGCACTCGTAGTTGTACAGTCAAGTCAAATTTTTGCTATCGTCTAATACTACTTATAGTATTCCAATAGAAATACTTGTTGACATTTCTAAATATATATAGCTTGTATAAATTTTGTTTAAAAACATAACCTCTATTCAAAATATAATCACAAACACTCAAAAATTCCATCAAAATATAATCTATTTTTTCCGTAATTATTCTCATTGGAAATTTTCAAGTGCCATCTCTCATAATTTCTCACGTGTCGCAATATTTCTACTATACATTTCACTTAACCAATGATGCATAGGCGCCATCTAATTTTAGCAACATATTCATTGAAATTTTATTACCATGTGTGATCACATTATACACTAATCGAATACACCAAATAAATGTTCACAATGAGAGCATGGTTGTGATCGGAATGTGAGTCTTTCACACTTTAAGGAGAGCGATTTTCAATTTTAAGGCGAGGGAGAAAAACCTTCTCTTGGTCGACATTACTGTATATGGAGCACTAAAACATAGCTAAGTATTATTAGCAGTAATAGGAGACCTCATTGGTAATAGATACTAGATGATCATGACTAAACAAACAAAGAAATGTCAAAAATGTCATTATAAAAACTGTCAACAGTTAAAACGGGCAAGATTTGATTCGCGAAATGCAATGCAAATCCAGTTATCGAGACTCCTGTTGATGTCTAAATGTCATGAACATGAAGTCAGGCTAAATATGATGTGAACAACACCCAATCAAAAAGTGTGGCTTCGACAAAGGGAAATCGCAAGTATAGGAATGGACTTCCATTTCAGTTAAAAACACCGCTTACAGTACAGGTTCCGATGAGAATCACATTGGAATTCACAAAGCAAAACTGACCATACTTTCTTCAAAACAATGGTTGTTTACCCAGTATTGTTATTTATTACATTCCTGATATACCTAATTACAATTATGCATATAATCCTACCTGATTAGGGTACAAATCGTCTCCTTTAAATCGAAGTGTTAAGAGCTTTTGCTATGCTAGACATTTTATTACGGGAGAGGTCCTACGTTTAAATGTCATGAATGCCGGGTTAAATATATAATGTGAACAACAACCAATCAGTTAAAAACACCGCTTGTTGAAACAACCGACAGTCCGCCTCTTTGGTTTGGGGGTTGTCATTAAAACTTTAGATAGTTGATTAAATGTACGATATTAAACGATTTTGAAAATATTGGCAATGTTAATAATTGCAGCCATTTGGGATAATTTTGCCCTTGTTTGTCACATAATTACTCTTTACAATACCATATTTAGAGCTCAGGTAATCCCTATTCATGGATTGGTTGTTATCTTAATTTGGGACAGGAATCATCAGTCAGTCCAGCAGTGTTGAGTGCGCTTAGGTCTAATCAAACGTAACACTGCAAGAATTAGGCCTATTACCTTTCGCAATCACTTTTAAAATGTAGCAGACAGACAGTTTCAACTTAAATGTAGTACAAGGTGTCATACAGCAACAATACCCATTATCATTGTTACTCACTGTTAGTCATACTGATAAAATGCAAATAAGCTTTAAGCTTACAAGATCAATTTTGATAATAAAAAAAATTGAAAGTGTTATTTAAATATGTAGTGAGCATTTTTACTCCAGTTCATTTTTAGTACGGTACTGCAGTGTTCCACTGTAAAAAATATGAAAACAAAAGGGATATGGTCTAACTTAACAAGCCAGCACCACTATGTTTTGCTGGGCATCTATTATTTACTATTAAATGGTTAATAATCAATATGAGTATGACAATCACTGACTCAAATTGGCTAACTGTGATCTTCATTACAAAATCCCTTAATGACATTATTCATTATTGAAAATCTTACAGTATGTAAGGTTTTCATTATTGACAATGTTATTTCTTCTGTTTGACCTTTAACATTTGTTAGTTTATACCAAGATTATGTCACAAGTTATACAAACATTTGTAGTTGCTCTAAATACTTGAAATTACAGGTAGAAGCCTTTTACTTTTACAAGAGAATCCATGTTGTAAGCTTACCTAAAAGACCTGCATGTACATGTAGGGGGGATTCTAAATGGGTACAGATCCACGTACAGAAAATTAAGATTGTACATGTTTTGTGGTCTCAAAATGCTAATATTGTCATTTAATAAACCAGTATTCTCTTTTTTGATTAAATAATATATAATGGCAGTAACTGTACAATGCACTGTGGTCACAAAACAATAAATTAGTATCAATAGTTGATACTTCTTCTACTAAATGCTTGACTGGTGTTGTAATGGTAAACAGTGTAAAGGTTATAGTATCTATCCTTTTAAAATTATCATTTGAATTGTTCATTGATTTTTTTTCTCTTTTTGATTACATTACAGGTTTTCTTGAAGCCTTAAAATGGCAGTTAATGTGTACAGTACAAATGCAACAGCTGACAATCTTAGTCGCCATGATATATTACACTGGGTAAATGAATCTCTACAGACGAATTATGCAAAAATTGAGGAACTATGTACAGGTTTGTCTTATCATTCTTAAGTGATTTTTCTCATCATCTATATTTATATTCATCTAATGTTTAGAGATGATTTAGTTATTTCTGATATGTACATTCACTTACATTGTAAGCTTATACCATAAGGTTTTATTGATTTCTTTAAATAAAATATCAAGGTAAAATGTCCTTAGATTCATAACAATTAGATTTTCTCGATCTAATTTATGATGTAGTTAAGGACATTATGTTTATATTGTGTTATGATTTGAATTTTAGGTGCTGTATACTGCCAGTTTATGGATCTTTTATTTCCAGGTAAGAATCATGATGATATATTTCTACCAATATCCACATGTCATTTGTATTTAGGGCTGCAACGATACGCTTACCTCACGATATGATACATATCACGGTATAGACAATACGATACATCTCGCGATATTTTTTTCTTTCCAGATTTACATAAAGAATAAAACAAGTACATGTTTAAATTGTCTTTAAATAATTGTTAAGCTAATTAATAAACAATTCATATTTATTCAGATTTATTCAAATTGAGATGCTAAGAGATCGGGGAGAATTGCGGGGTAGTTAAATTTTTATCGCATCTTGCATGCGCATTTGTTTTGTTAGTATTGTTGGTGGGGGGGGGGACATTTTCTTACGAGTGACATCAACGTTTATTTATTGATGGTGGCGTTTTACATATGTCGCCATGATTGACATGTTCCCAGTTTTATAGGTAACATCGGCATAACAGTGGCGACACTTTGTTACATCATTAGTCACGGCTTATCTATCTTTGAATCCAAAATGTTCCATTATGTGAGATTTATGGTTAAAGATACATTATGGGAGAGTAGATAAAGAGCTGGCAGTTCTCATAAAATAGTTAAAAATTAGATAATGTAAAAGGAATTTGCTGAAAATTTCAGTCAAATTGATCCACTCTGAACCAAGAATTTAGCAATTGAATTTTAGGCCTAGCCTCGATCATCATTACTAAAGTCCGTACGATAAAAAAAATACATGTAGTCTGACTAGTCTTGATTATCCATTTTTTGATTTAATCATCAATGTGCATTCAGCAGCAGATCGGATTCCAATCCAGTAAATATATCATAGGCTAGCGATGACATCGAGAGTTGATTATGGTCTGGATAAGTTCATTAATGTCTAATTTTAATAATTTAGAAAGACCTGCAATAGGCAGATTTAGCTCTTGCATAATGTATGTTTAAGTGGAGGTGAATATAACTTCAGAGGGACACTGTTGAAAGCCATTTTACTTCATTGTCACATGAAAAATTTAAAGTTCACAACTGTGGCATGTATACCGCGGTATGCCATCTAACGCACTGTGTGTACCGAACTGCGAAACGGATTAAAAGTACCTTGAACCAAACTGAAGCATGTATACAGCGGTATACCGTCTCATGGTACATGTATATCGTTGCAGCCCTACTAAACATTACTTAATGGTGTTTTAGTTGCATTGTTTGTATTTTAAATGTTAATACTGTTTACATTTCAAATGATAATGCTTTGATTGAGATTTCTGAAAAAGTGGGACAAACTTTCACAAACAGTTTAACTGGTGTTGTTATCAGTAGTACTTCTGTAAATGAATCAATACAATTGACCGCAACACCGATTTGTTAAAGTAAACAATTACCGATAGAACATTATAAAATGTCTTTAAAATTAAAATAAGTTTACAAGCGCAATGCCCATATATAAGCTCTTCTGAAAAACAAGCAAAATGTTTTTGTAAGCGAGAAATTAATTTTTTATTAAAACCGGAAGTGATGTAGTGGCATAACTGTATTTTGTTCATGTGTCGTCCTTTGGCCAAAAATCTGATCAAATGGGGTGTTTATTAAGATATTATAAACACAAATTTATGTTTAGTACACAAAACCGTCGCGTAAATTCACTCATATTGAACAGTACACTGTGACCCAATTCACACCACATGGGTAATTGTTTACATCACATGGTTTGTTTGACAGCTTGCAAGTGACATGTATTTCGTCTGCTTAGATGTTTTTGTACTTGCTGACAGCATTTTGCAACATAAACGGACAAAAATTATGAGCATTAAGACATATAATATAGTGCATTTTGGCACGTAATGTCGACGTGAACGACTTTTCCTTTTTTTTCTTCCATGTCCTCTTCAGAATGGCTGGGCTCGAATGTGTATACAGCATTACTGTAGACCCATAGAAGAGATATCTTACATTCCGATACGTTGGTGTCTGACGTTGACATACTTTGGAAATTTATATATTTATTTGAATATATATGTGCCATCACAAGTCCATTGAAATAATTAAAAACACTGTCAGCAGACTCAGCATGCACAAACACATTCAAGCAGACGAAATATCTCTCACTTGCCTGGTGTCAAACAAACCACATAATGTAAACAATTAGCCGTGTGACATGATGAATTGGTCCACAACGTACTGTTCAGTACGACTGAATGTACACGTCGGATTTATGTATTAAACGTTTAAAAAAACATAATTCCATGTTTATAATATCCAAATAAACAGTCCTTTTGGTTGGATTCTCATCCAAACGACATCGCGTGAATAAAATACAGCAGCAAGCTTTTGCCCAATCTGTATACTTACAATAGAGACCAGTGAGCGTATTGAACCAACTGCATCACATGCAGTTTAATAAAAATTAATTTCTCGCTTGCAAAAACCTTTTTGCTTGTGTTACAGAGGGGATTATTTATCAATATATTTAAGATTTATGGAAACCTTGTTGAAAATCGTTGGTCTTCCCCTTTAAAGTTTAACCCAAGATTCAAATACAATTTTATATTTGGGAAAATCCACGGTAACTCTCATTACAATGTTGCTCTCCACTGACGTCTTTTTATATGCCCACATTTTCATGTGGAATTGTTATGCCGTCGTTCTGTCTGTCCGTCCACAATTTGTTTGGTTTGTTTGTGGACACTCTACAGGTCACAATTTTTATACGCTCACAATTGCTTGTGGACGCTCAAGAGGCTAACGTTAATACACAGTGTTTAAGGTCGTGAGACGAAGAAGCCCAACGATTTCTGATAATTACTGTCAGAGTTATGGCCCTTGATCACTTTGAAAAATCTTTTGGACGCTCTAGAGGCTAAAGTTAATATCCGATTGACTTTAAATTTATACACAGTGTCACAGTGTGAGAAGAAGAAGCCCAGTGATTTCTGATAATTAATACCAGACTTATGGCCCTTGATCACTTTGAAAAATCTTGTGGATGCTCTAGAGACCGATTGATTTTAAATTGATATACAGAGTTTAAGGTTTTGAGATGAATAAGTATATTAATTTTCAATGAATTTTGATAACTTGAACAGCTAAATCCACGATATTGAATGTTTGGTATACTAAACGTTAGCATGGGGCAGAACTAAAAGCCAAACAAATTCTAATGTCAATGATATTCTGATAATTACTTAATGAGTTGTTACTCATAACCAGATTTTAGTGTATTATAAATGTTTCATTACCGACAATAGAAAAAATAAGCGACAACTCTTGTTGACACCACGGACGACTGCACTGTGGGCATACGTTTCATTGCCTGACAACCTATCTTTACCCAGTTTTGATGAAACTTGAAATGTGTGTTTATAATCCAAAGGTCTCAGTCCCTTTCGATATTCGCACATTTCTGACCATAACTTCTTGGATCATGGCAGCTTTCTCTCTTTTAGCATTAGAGACTCAAATTTCAGTTCATTTGCAGTTGGGAGCCACGGTGGCTCAGTGAGTAGGACATTAGCACGCTAACCTGGAGGTCCCATTATTCCTGGGTTCGATCCCTGCGTTGGCCAAGAAAGTTCAGAGAATATGAGGTGCAAAAATGCGGCGGTAACTCAAATTACATTTTTGGGACATCCATTTCAAAGCGTTAGCTACATTTGCACAAAATTCCTATGCATTATTTTAATTAAATGATCACAATGCCAGGTAAATACAGAAATAAATAAAGGTTGATTTTTACCATTTAGTTTTAGATATTTATCGCTTTAATTTGTTATTTCGCACAGAGTCTTCGATTTCAGAACTCACATTATGAGAGATCATGTGTGTCTTTATAAGTCACTTGGTTTGACTCTTGAATTATATTAGAACCCTTGTGGGCCACCCTGAATCATGGGAAGAAAAGATGAACTTTGAGATGACATCCAAGATTGCCATCATTCCATATTTGAATTTGACACTAATCATAGCCCTTGCTATTTTAAGGGTGCAATTTGGGTGTCTCTACCTTTCAAGCAACCCACTAAAATCAACTGTTACATGTGAAATCCAAAACTGCTATAAATTTACATATTGGCATGCTAGAACTTTGTTTTTATAAGCCCACATTTTCATGTGGACGTATATTGTCGTCGCTCCTGTCTGTCCGGAAGTATGTACGTCTGTTCGTCCGTCCATCTGTCCGTCCACAATTTGTTTGTGGACATTCTACAGGTCACAATTTGTATCTGATTTTGACGAAACTTGAAATAATAGGTCTATCTCCCAAAGATCTAGGTTCCTTTCGATATTGGAATGTATCGGACCATAACTTCAAGGATTATGACCCCTAATTGTACAAAAAATAACTTTTCATCTGATTTTGGTGAAACTTGAAATGCATGTTTATAACCCAAAGATCTTGGTTACGTTTCGATATTCACGCAAATTGGACTGTAACTTCCTAAATTATGGCCCCTGGTTGTACGAAAAAACACGTTTGTAGCTTGTGTTCCCTCTAGAGGTCACAATTATTATCCGATTTAAAAAAACATTCAAATATATCACCCATACACCGTAATGTTGGTTAAGTTTGAATTTCGTGAAAATCGGACCAAAACTGCCAGACAAAATGGCCTCCCCTCGTATGCAAATAGTGTAAATATATGGTATATCAAGGTTGTGGACCCTCTAGAGGCCACAATTTTTATACGCCCACATTTTCATGTGGACGTATATTGTCGTTGACCCTGTCCGTCTGTCCGTCCACAATTGTTTGTGGACACCCTACAGGTCACAATTTTTATCCAATTTCAATGAAACTTGAAATATAGGTTTATCTCCCTAAGATCTTGGCATGTATCGAACCGAAACTTCATGGATTATGGCCCCTGATTGTACGAAAAATCACGTTTTTAGCTTGTGGACCCTATAGAGGTCACAATTTTAATCCTATTTTGATGAAACTTGAAATGTAAGGTTATAACCCAAAGATCTTGGTTCTTTTCGATATTCGCGCATATCGGACCTTAACTTCCTGAATTATGGCCC